ATATTAACATTTTATTTTCTGTATAATAAAACGATTAATCCTATTAAATGAAAAGTTTAATTGCATCAAATTATTGTAATAAAATTATTAGATTTATCATTTAATGAAAATTATATTACAGTTTAAATTAAAACTTTAGTTTAATTATAATATTAAAAATAACATCACTTAAAGTAAATCAATTTTATGAATGATCATTAATAATAAAAATATAAAATATTTTAAACTTAACCAAAATTACATTGTTAGTTGATCTAGTTTAATAACTATTTGATCGACATATAAATGTAAAATGAATAATTTTTAAAGATTGCTAAAATAAAGCAAAACTTGCTTGTATCTCATATATAACTCTATTGTTTACGTTTAGAGTTACATATAAGTTTTATGTAATACACTGGCATGTAAATAATTAGCATGTTAAATAACAAAACAAAGTTTACATAAAATATATCATGGTCAGTAAAGCCTTACCCCAGACAATGACCGGCAGTTACTACATACTCCTCATTAATAATAGTACCCACACACTCTTCCCTGTCAATTATAAATGCAATTAAAAATTAACCCGGTAACTATGGTATGGCTAGAAATATATTATAATACTGATCGACTTATGAGCTGTCTCCATGGTGTATTTCTGCCTTGATATAAACTAACCAGGGAAATTGTTCACGTGTTGCTGCCTTTCCATTGTAAATATGCTGGACATACCGGCGCCCATTATAAATGAAACACTCATTAATCTCGAGGGTAGATTCAGCTCCATTGCCACAGTCAGTCATTGTTACGTCGGGGTAATGGTGTATATGTATGCCATCATACCCGACCACTAATAGACACATTCCTACAAATAATAATGATATAATTAATTTAAAGTTTCTATGTTTAATAAGGTAATAATTATATTACAATAAATATCATTAAAATGGTTATGTTATTAAAAGTTATAAGATCTTAGTTATTACAACTATTTATAAAGTTTATTTTTTTACCAAATATAAGTTGTTTACAAACATAAATATTTGTTTGTTTGTACATTTAGGTTAACATTTAAAATAAGAAATTAAAAACATGTGGTAATAGTAATGAAATAATATTCCGGCGTTAAAAATACTATTATTAAATTACCTATAAATTAAAATAAATATAAAAATACTTAAACTATAATTAAATTTTGTTTACTTATTTTGTAGGTAAATACATAAAAAACATAATAAAATATAATAGTAATTAAAAATAATGCTAGTATGGTAATACATTCGCATCTGTTTTATTGGTGTCTCGTGTAAATTTATGTTGGTGATACGATTTCTAAATTATTTGATTATTTAAATTTAAAATGTAATACATTTTTGAATTGTTAATTTGTTAAAAAATACTGTATAAATTATAATACTAATAAATAATTTTTAAAAATATCCAAAAACAATTGTAACATTTGTAAAAATATTTAATATTGATTAATGATTATTGTTGTAAAGGTATTGCATTTATTTTATTGTTTAATTTATTAATGTAATATAATTATTTAATTAAAAATAATATTAAATTATAAGGTGCACAAGTTACTAAATATCTATTAAGTTACAAATATCTGTTAAATACAATTTGTTGCAATTTGATCCATAAGTAAATAATAGTATTAAATAATTTTTTGTAAATTATTATATAGCTAAAATTTTATTTTATTTTACATTTTATTCAATATTTAATTTTGATACACACAATATTTAAAATATATGTCATACACAAATGACACACCAATTAAGTTGGCAAACTATCATTTGTGAGTTTGGACTATTTTAAAATTATTAACATTATTAATATTGTTTTATTATCAATAAATACATTGTTTATTACATGATATAGTGTTGTGTCCAGTGTTTATGGGTTGTCATGCAATTCACGCACAAATCAAAAGCTATACAAATGTGACGACAAATGAGTGCGGGTTAGGCCGACACTACTGGACCCCCGATAGCGACGATTGTTTTAGATATAGTAAAGCTAACGGTGCGGCCGTGGAGAATGGGAGGCCTATAGGTTGGGGTGAAATGCCCTGGTTGGTCGGTATTAAAACAAACAAATCATCCTCTACAATTGACAAGGATAATAATACAATTGTAAAATAGTATGTTGAATTTTATTGTTTTAAATAACTGTTTTGATAATTGTATGTATATGTGAGTGAAATTAGTAATAGTAAATTATAATAACTATATATTAATAACTAAGATATCATAAAATTGACAACCAATTTTACATATTATTAAATTCTAGTTATCCAGGTTCGTGCAGTGGTGTCATCATCAATGAATGGTGGATAGTAACAGCCAGGCACTGCTTATAGTAATTATAAATTTAATATTATAATTTTCTATATTTACAGTAATTACTAATTAGAAATAATAATTACAAATAAATATTTATTATCACTTTTTTATTGTTTTGATAATTTGTTGAATTATATACACAAATAATGGACAATACTATTGATTGATTGTCAGTGGGAACAGTTGTCGCGCAATTTCAGCGCACATTGACCATGCTGCTGCATCTTTGGTGAATGATAGCCCTGACAACATTGCTCACTTTCATGTCCCAGGACCGACTACTGATATAGCATTAGTCAAACTCCGGGATAAGATTGAGTTCAATCTGAACGATACGACTAAACCGATGGTTAACGCCATTTGTTTCCCCAAAGAAAGCATTTATAATAAGGATCCGGAATATGCCCTTATATCCGGGTATGGGTCCATTAACGAAACTCTTAAGGACATTGATAAATTTGGACACATGGGCTGGATGATAATTCATGGGGGTACCAATGATGCGTATGATGGCTATGGTCGTTATATTTATATGACCAAATTAAATAATGACGGTCACTTTTTGTGTCAGGTGAGTCCCATGTTAATTAATTTTTTATTAGCTATTTAAATAAGCGATGAATCATTTTATTTAAATGTAAGGGTGATTCTGGTGATCCACTCATTCAATACGTAAATGGTAGGGCTGTGCTAATTGGTGTTAATGTCTACGCTGATAATGATAATGCAACATGTTCAGGGTATCTTTCTGACCGATCTTGGTCAATTAGAGTCAGTCGTAAAATGGATTTCATTTTGAACAATATCTATAACAGACATTAAAAGTAGAATATCTATGTTTTGAGGTGCAAATGTAATTCCTAAATGCTGTATATCTATAACATTATTAATTGTTAATGTTTAATTTTGTACGCCTCTAATTTAATTTATAAAATTTACTATATCTATATATCTCTAAAATAATATCCTCATAAACAAACATTTTTTGTTAAACTTTCATAGAGTGACAGAAATATATATAGAAGAGAAAGACAGAAATGTTTATATTTTATTAAAACATTTATTTACTATTTAGTGAATTTATTAAATAATATGAAATAGTTAAAATATGTTTTGTAATATAATACTAAATGTACAATTATTACTAACTATACTGGTATAATTATAGCATGAGTCAATTATAATGCTATAAGCCTGTACTATTATAGATATAATTAATTAAAAATTAATTATTTATAGTAGTTAATCATTTAAATTTCAAATAAAATGTAGAAATTTCTGTCAGTATACAGTTACATACTGTATGATACAGTCTGTGCCATGTAAAATAAAACAATTATTGTTTTCAATTAAAAAATAAAATTTCAACGTATGAAATATTTTTATTTAACATCAAAATCAAATTAATAATTCTTTAAATATGGCATCAAATTATTATATGTATGAAAATTGATTGATAATTGATAAAAATTGAAATATCAAAACAAATGATATGAAATTTACAAAAAAATTACAAATATTTCAAAAAATACATTAGTATTTGACATATTTTCAATGATTGTGGGCTATAATACAATTCACGCCCAATTTGGAAGTTATCCAGGTATATGCCCTAATGACTGGGTTAAACCTAATCGCTATATTGAATAAAAATAATGAATGATTTGTTTTGAAAAATTAATATAATTCAAGATTAAAATAAATATTTAAGTAAAGATGACTTAGAAATTAATAAGTATAATTAAATAAAAAATGCATATTATGGGGAAAATATCAAAATAGGAGACATTCCCGGCCCCCATTTGTCTAAACAATTAAGTTGTGAACAAATTCACGAGCACCATTTATCAATAGTTTACCAATTATTAGTAGTTTATCAATAGGAGGGGAGGGGTACAAAGTGATTCTAGTATACACTTTTTATTTCTACGGAAAAGGGTATAAAATAATTAAATGTATATAAATTATATTTGTAATATTAGAATTATAATGTTAAAAATGATTAATTAATCGTAAACTAAAAATTTATTATTAATTCATGTAGCATATAAATTACATTAAACCAGTAAGACAAGCTTGGTAAATATTACTGCAAATGATCATGCACCTATCGCCGACAGCAGCATCTCGCTGGGGACCATCGCAATGGTTGTCGTTGTGATCGGCAATACAAGACTAAGAATGCCAACAATCTGAAACCAATTACGAATGTGGCCAAGACCCGAATGTTGCGACCCAGATGATCTTCGCGGAAATCAAAAACTTTCTCGATAACTTCCTGACCGGTCGATATGCAATCAGAGGCCGAATTGCATTTATTGGGACAGTCGTCAAACTTGATACCATTCCACTGGTTAATCACTAACGCCTCGAAGCCGTAGTAAAACCAGGACAGGTTGTAAAAGTACTTGACCCAAGCTGATGTGGTACTGCCAAAATCAATGACGTTTTATTGTACATTAATGGTATGACATTTGTTCGTGATATAAGTCTAATAACAATTTTAAGTAATAAACTTAAAATTAAACGTTCTATGCAAAATACACACCAATTTTAATATATTTACCCATTAACCCATAATTTCTTTTATAATTTATATACAGGTCTTATATTAGTATGTTTTGCAAACTAATTATAGTTATTAATCTAATTATATAAAACTTTAATTTCATGATTAATAAAGTTAATGAAAATAATAACAAAACAAATTTTAAACTCAACTCTTTGTCTAATAAGTATCCACCAAATATTATGATCGGGGTCAATAGGAGTGATCCTAATTTTAGAGCGGTGTCGGCCGATGTGGTCACGCATGACATGAAGTAACCTTTAGATATATTAGGGCGAGAATCAAATGAATGTTAAATCCAATTAATAGTTGATAATATGACATTATCACACGTATTTTTTATGTACGTTATTGATGTTTACCTTACAACAATTATATGTTTATTGTATTGCAAAAGTATAGGTATGATCATACTCCAGCTAATGGGGTCCGCTTTTTGAACAAAAAGATAAGGATTATACTTTAACCTTTCGATACTGTCCATTTCAAAAAGTACGACATATGCAAATCAGGAATAATGGTGGTCCTAAAGTTTGACATATGTCAATTTCAATGTTATATAATGTTTAATATAATGATAGTAAGAAATCAATCATAGAATTCCCGTTGATACATACAGTATTATTAAACATTAAATTTAATTTTTAATATTATATTTTATTAATATTGGTTTATTTTTATTTAGAACTTGCGAAAAAACAACGTCCAAATGATACTTAATTTTAATTTTATATTTGTATTATTTTTAATAACTTTCTTATTGTTATAGCATTTTTATTTTACTTATTATTCTTATTGTTTAATTGGAAATAAAATATTTACCTAACTTTCAAACTTTATTTAATGTCATTACATATGCCTTATTAGCCTAATAGGCACGTCTAAGGGTATAGTTGAAAAGGACAGTATCGAAAGGTTAAAGTATAACCCTTATCTTTTTGATCAAAAAGCGGACCCCATTAGCTGGAGTATGGGTATGATATAAATAAGAGGCCTATAGAATTGATCTAATATAAGCGGCGTAATTTATTAATGGATTTAATTAAATAAACTATATTTTTCCTATCTTATCTGAAATGACACCGATATCATCTGTCTAAAAATTGAACGTACTCTATGGAAATTCTATTTTAATTGTAATGGTATAATTTTGAAAATTGTTGAAAAATTATTAAATTGGTCATTAAGTTTACTAAGACTCGTAACCAATAAATGAATGCATATAATGAACACTACATACTGTACGATATGGCACACTGGCTGATGAGTATGACGATTGCCATAGCAGTCAAGAAACGGGTGAAGTCGGCGTTGAGACCCACCATAAAGTAGTAAATGAACACAAATAGTATGGTCTGCAGTAAATATATTGGCAACTATAACCACAGAAATGTTTATAAAATTATTCACATGGTAAACAATTGGGCACATTTAGTCGTATTAATGAATGCGTACATCTACTATGTTCTGGGCTATGAAATACACGACCACTCTATACATGCGATTGTGGTGTTCCCTCAGGAATAGTGGGCGCGCCCCACAGAATGTCTACACAATGTAAGTATAATTTTAATTATAATTAATTGTGAACTACATTTAGCATATTACATTGATAACAGACATCAGGTTTATGATTGTCATATTCATGAGTAGTATAAATAGTGAGGAGTTGATATTTCTAATAGTTTTCTGGTTCACTTTTTCCTGGTAAAATACTATCCCCAATAATGGCGCGATACTCTATGTGTATAAGATATCAGACATTATTTATCTATTATATTTAAGGTTGGCATTTTCAAGTGAAATATTTCAATGAAATATTTCACTACGGCCAACCTTAATTATATTGTATTTTTATAAGTGCTAAGTCGCTCATAAGGTAAATTTTAATATAGTAAGATAATGTATAAGGATTTTAGCAGTTATATGATTAAGATAATCTGGGTCTCTATAATACCCTGAAATATATATAAGATGAATAAAAAAAGGACACAAGGTTTTTTGCTCGTATTTCTGTTTCTTGAGATAAATTCATTTTGTAAAAGGTATTTTGAACTATCATTTAATCGTGTTCTTTTGACATACTAACCACCCTGGTGACTCAAGTATTTCATTAAAAATTTTGGACCAACGCGAATCTCTTAGTCACAGGTCGGAGCATAGTAGCAGGGTAAAATCTAAATTATCCAAATTAAAGCCGAAAATATACACTCTCATTTAAGCTATAAACCACATTGCTACAATTTCTAGTTATGAAACAGTAATCTTTTGAAAATCATTAAATCCAATGTAAAAATCAAAGGTAAATAATTTAAACTTAAATTACTCGTGTCTAATAGGAGCTAGGTAAAAGTGTTCAATTGTAAACTGAAATAGGTGTCATAACCTTTCAAACGGACTATGGATCATATTTGTAGGAAATTTTATTTTAACAGAATTTCCATTTCAATGTACATTCAAATAACCCCATATTATACAATAGATTACACATTTTAACCCATTATATAAGAATTAAAATGTAGTTTATTATTAAAATATGAATTCAACGAGAACCAAATTTCCTACAAATATGATCCGTATTCCGATTGAGAGCTTATGATACCTAATTCAATTTTACAATTGAGCACATTTACCTAGCACCTATTAGTTACGTGTAATTTAAGTTTAAATTATTTACCATTGATTTTTATATTGTATTCAATGATTTTCAAAGGATTATTGCTTCAAAACTAGAAGTCGTAGCAAGGTGGTTTATAGCTTAGATGAAAGCTTATTCTTTAGGCATTAACTTGTATATATTAAATTTTACCATGCTACTATGCTGTGACCCGTGACTATGACAGAGTTGATGCAAAATTTTGTTGAAATGCTTGAGTCACCAGGGTGGTTAGTATGTCAAAAGGACACAATTATAATAAAGTTAAAATACGTTTTTAGAAAATTGATTTATCTCAAGAAACACAGAAATGCGAGCAAATAACCTAGCTTCCTTTTTTGGATTCATCTTAAAATATATTACATATTTCAAAATACTCCGAATGTAATTACCAATCCAATTGTTACATATAATAAGCTCTTTCCACGAAAAACAATAAATATTAAACGCCATAATAATGCACACATTTGTCGTCTAACTCCAGCTAGGTATTTAGGAGCTGGAAATATAGACTCGGCACCTGTAGTATCCGGTATGCTCTCGTGCTTTGTTAACACATATGAGTCATATGCATTGCATATTTTCTGCAAATATAGCAAGATACAATTAGGAGGTCATTATCATCCAATATTTTAAAAGAGCATTAACTGATTGGAATCGGTCAATCTAGTAATTAGCCATATTTTTATTTTAATGTAAACTAGGTAAAAATACAAAACCCCTTCAAAACTAGTTCTTTTTCAATTAAAATATAATAATTGAATTGCCGTAAAATTTCTAAACTCGGGTTCAGTATTATTGTGTCCAAGATTATAAACAATAATTACAATATAATATATTAAATATAAATACATTAATTCTAGCCGAGGACTCCGTTTCCATTTCGGATATTTCTGCTATATTTTGTAGAGAAAAATTTTGATAAATTTAGCAGATTATGGGATATTTATTAATTACCCAATTGGTCAATATAGAAGTCGGCTGGGTTGTAATTAGGTTGGCATGTCTATTAAATATTTAAAATTAATTAATATATATAGTTAAATTAAAATTTTTATCTTACATATCCCACATTTCCGAACAATTCCTTTGCTTTCTCTGTCATATAATTAATTTGTATTTTACTTTAATTTTAAAATGAGTTTTAAATATTAATTTAAAATTTCTTTCAAGTAACTATATTTATATACACATGGCATCAGAATGCTATATAAGTAAACTTATAAATTATAGTAATTGGGAGGATATACAAAATTTATATATAAAGTTATTTTTAATACACTTTTAATAATATATTATAATAATAGCCATTTTGGCTGATATCAAAATTTGGATTAGTTATGGTCAGCCATATTTTGTAGTAAATGTCCTGTACTTACATGAATTATAAATATTACCTATCATAAAATTTGTGGTAAACGCATCAATATAAATATTCTTTTTATATATTATTATCACAACAAATAAATTAATATAATTATGTCACGAGAGTTGACTGTATATTATGTGGAAAATAACTAATCAGTTATTATCAGTTATAGCTATTTTCCATAGTTTTTGATATTTAATTTATAAGTTTTATTCCACTATTTAATGTACATATTGTTTTTAACCAATAGATTTTAAGTTGTTTTATTTTTTAAGATTCTTTCTGTGGGTATAAAAGGCAGCACTTTTTCTGTATACTCTTGAGTCCTGAATTTGTCAATAAACGCTACTTTTGTATGAGACCCTCTCTAGTTGGTAGGGCGTGATCGCCGTGAAGGCTGTAGCGTTTGTATCGGGACCCGGCCCTGTAGTGGCCCGTATTCTTTCCCCTTTAGTTGTTCCCGAGTGTCCAGTCCTCGCATTTAGCCCATTCTTTTAGGTTCCCTTTTAGTTATTCCTCGATTGCCCAGTCCTCACATTTATTCCCTTTAAGTTTAGTATAGTGTTAAGCCCTCCCTATAGTCAGGTATGAATCCCCAGACTGAGTGCCGACTTAGTCTCGGAGTGAGCAACGGTCAGTCACAAAGTCCTCCAGAGTGTGGCAACCGTTTAGCTCATAACATGTTGAGCCATCCATTGAACACAACCATTGGAGTCTCAGATGGGTTGGCTGTAGCTCATAACCATTATAACAAAGTGATATTAAAATAATAGCTATTACAGGGTCTTAAATACCGACCTTATGGTTGACAATTTTTACATTTAATATACATTCCTAATACTATAAGATGTACCTGACCATAACTATTCCAACCTTGGTATTAGCCGAAGTAAATTTTCCTATAATTAATACTATTAAAAGTGTTTTATACAAATCATTGTATTATTTTCGAGTAACCACCGATATACTATGATTTGTTAGTAATTATGCATTAGTTGAGCTTAAAATTATAACTGACATATGAAAGCAAAATTTAATAGATCTATAAATTAAACAATAAAAATAATCAAAAGTAAGTACCTGTCTCTCCCATAAAAGCAACCCTTCCTTTAACTAAAAGCAATAAGTGCTCAAAAAGTGCAAACACTTGGGACGAGGGTTGATGTATAGTACAGATGACAGTCCGTCCCTCCGATGCCATTGACTTCAACTTCTCGATCATACCTTTGGCCATAAATGAGTCCAAACCAGACGTGGGCTCATCGCTAACAATATACGCAAGTTTATAAAATTTAAAATATTACGTGACATTAAAGTGTCCAGGTAACTCACCAAAACATTATAGCCGGATTTTTTAAATACTGCGGAAAACAATTGAAAATAAACAGATATTAATAGGAAATGGATTATACTTCGGATGCAAAAGACAGTCGTTTGGCTTGACCTCCAGATATGCCCTTATCTGTCGAATCGCTTCCAATTTTTATATTTTTACAATCCGTTAAACTAAACTGAATTTAATAAACCAATTAACTAAATTATCAACGAATTGTTCTTTATACTAATTTCTAATATTAATTAATAAAATGTTTGTTAAGTGTGCTAACAATGTCAATGTCAGGTAATATAAAGTGCTCATACTTTCTCGATAATACTGTCCACCCGACGTTCCCTTTCAACTTTTGTCAAACCCTGATCCATTCGTAATAGTGACTATATGACATTGGTGATTGGTGAGATTAGAATCAAAATTATAGTCAAAGCAAATCCGTAATAATTACATGAAAAATGAGGTGTTCCCGAACGGTGAGCACCGGCTCAAACAAATCGTTTTGTTGTACGTACCCCGACTCATTTACTATAGTATTACCGTCGGCAGGATTGCCGTTTAAAAAGACACCTCCCCTTACATCCATTCCCTTCAGATATCTTCCCGTCAATACAGTTAATAGTGTTGTCTTTCCGGATCCACTGAATTCAAAAAAGTTTTAAATAAATTTATACAACTCATAAAAATGTGCATTCAATTTGACCGCACCTTAAGCCCATTATAGCGATCAGCTGTCCCGGTTTTACCACTCCAGATACTAGTAATCAATTAACTAATTAGTCATTTTATTTATTACTAATTCAATAACTTATTACCAATAATTCACATTAATTAGAAAGCATATTCAATCAATTAGCTTTATGCTAACCTTATTAAATATAACATTTTATTAGATAATTATATATCAGGAATATTTATTATTAATCATTATGCATAAATAATAATATAATGGCTAATATAGCCCACATTTGCTACCTCTATTATGCACCATGAATATGCTGTAAATATTTAAATTTTAAAATTTTACCATTTTGTAAGATTTGCTTTGGTTGCATTATAACTTTACGGAAAATATTTTTAGGCGGCCTACTTGAAACCACCAGATTTTTCCACGAGATGGTAATAGGGCGTGAGAGAGGCAACACAGAGTGGGACTCATTAATTAGCGGGATTTCCAAATTTTCACCAGTTTCTATTGACGACTATTTTAGTGTAATAAATGAAAGTATTTTTAAAACATAAAATTTCAAAAAAAAAATTATATGCTCTTAATTATATTCAACTAAATTAACTTATTACAAATTATTATATATAGTGATGTATGATATATATTTATTAATTCGTTTTTTTTAAACACTAGTTATATTCTTTATAATACATACTCATTGATACTGTAATAAAATACAGCATTATTTTATTATGCCGTCACAGAATTGTGACTATTATGTATAAGATTTTTTTCAAAATATAATATATTATTACTGTACCAATAAGTCAAAAATTATCTTATGCATAATTTTTTGACGGTGTATTTCAAAAAAATATCTATGATAAGCTGTAATTTATTAAAGTATTCACTTTATAAGTTTATATTAGTTGTCATAAATTACTTGATTCTGCTTATCAATGGAAAAATATTATGCAGGCGTTCAACAATTATTTTTACGATCATGTAGCGTTTTAGTAATTTCAAATAAATTTTTGTTAATTTATTGAACATAAATGGTTGCAAAATATAGATACACAAATTTTAAATTAAAATTTATTTATTCTAATAAAGTTTAAAACACATTTTAAAAACTAAACATATCAATTTATATAAATTCTTTTCTATTAATAATTGACAAAGTTCCAATTATTTTTTTTAATTGTAAGGCATGATCCACAAAGTACGTATTCACGCCTACGGGGAGGGGGATCATGCCAAAGCAATGTCCCCAAGTTAATCTCCTATGTACGATGGGCGTGTAGGGGAATGAGGTCGATTTTTGTCAAAAATTTAGCTACATACTTTGTGGATGACGCCTAATTAAATTGTTATAATTTTGATTAAAATGTATAGTTGAAATTCATTTCATGAACAAATAAATTTTAATCACCACTAAGTCTAAAGAGTTATTTATATCATATTTAAATAAATTGTAATGCTCATAATTTTAACCAGTGTAACACATCTTGTTACAATTGAAAATTGTATTTTTAAACATTAATTATTTCTATTGTAATTAATATTAAATAATACAAAGATTTTTGTACACTAATTAAAATTATAAGTAAAACAATTAATAGGTCCAGAAATGACCTTGTTGCGTGTAGAAGACAATTGTGTCAACTAGAGTTTACTATTAGCATCATTATATTTAAATAACAGTGGACAGTAATAGGAAAGCAGTGTTGAATTATTACCTCTATAATTCAATCAGGGGGTTAATTAATGTATTTGTTTATACCTGTTGAATGTTGCCGGTTTGTGATGAACCCGCAGTAAATGTATCATAATTATGAAGTTTTTTGTAATTCATATTTCAGTAACTTATGAATTCTATAAAACATATACTATATCTCAATCACCGAAACATGTAAGAACAAGCACAATCCATGACTAAGTGATCACTGGATAGCATAAAATATTAAATATAAAACCTGACCGCATAATCACTTTTCCGCTAAATTGAAACACATGATTATTAACCAGGGGCAACCGATATAAAAGTCACAATATAATGGGTTTCAAATGATTATTCATTGTTTACTATATATTTGGGAACTGGCAAATTGACCTAAAAACCAATTG